CTTGAACTCACGATCCCTTGACCTCAGCCTTCTGAGTACTGGTATTATAAGCCTGCACTACACCAGGTGTGGCTCCACTAAATTTTAATGTATGTGCTTGTTCTAGTTCACTTTCTATCACTGTGATCAAACACTGATCAAAAGGGTTTATTTGACCTTACACTTCCAAGTGACAGTTCATCATCCAGGAAGTCAGGGCAGGAACTCAAGGCAGGACTGAAGCAGAAACCATGAAAGAACACTGCTTACTGGCTTGCTCCCTCTGGTTTGCTCGGCTACTTATCCCTAGGCCTACCTGCCCAGGGATAGTACTGCTTACAGTAGGTTGGACCCTCCAACATCAATTAACAATTTAAGAAAATGCCTCATAGACATGGCCACAGGCTAATCTGATGGAGGAAATTCCTTAACTGAGAGTCCCTCTTCCCAGGTGTCTCTAGTTTGTGTCAGGTTGAAAAAGATTACCCAGCACAATGCTATAAAAGTTTGGTTTTGGTCTTTTTGAGACAGGGTCTCCCTGTAGCCCTAGCTGTCCTGGAACTCACTATGGAGACCAGGCCGGCCTTGAACTCATAGAGATCCACCTGTCTCTGCCTCCCAAGTGCTGGGATTAAAGGCGTGTGCCACCACACCCAGCTTTAAAAAGAGCAATATTTTAATTTTCATTTATTTATTTTTCTTTTATGTGTATGAAGTGTTTTACCTGAATGTATGTAGGTGCACCCATGTTGTACAGTGCCCCTGGAGGTCAGAAGAGGGTGTTGGATCCCCTGGAACTGGAGTTAGGGATGATTGTTAGCTGCCATGTGGGTGCTGGGAATTGAACTCTGGTCTTCTGCAAGAGCAGCCATGCTCTTAACCACTGAGCTAGCTCTCCAACCCTTGGATTTTTAAGTATCCATCCAGAAAGAGTGTATTTGTTATTAAAGGCCACCCCACACATAGCTCTTACATACATTCCCCATTTCCTATCCATACTTGTTCATTCACAAATCTATCATGTAGTTTCTTTCCCACCAGAAGCCACACAGAATTACCTTAATAGGATGTTCCATAATTGATCTAACCAACTTCCTGCTGGTGGACATTTAGGTTGTTTCCATGGTAATGAAAATTTAAAGGATGCATTCCTCCCCATATGCAAGTCTCCTCCTGCATCCTCAGGCTAACAGTGTGCCCAATCATAAAGCAATTTTTTTTTTGGCCTTTTTGAGACAGGGTCTCCCTGTAGCCCCAGCTGTCCTGGAACTCACTATGTAGACCAGGCTGGCCTTGAACTCACAGAGATCCGCCTGCCCCTGCCTAATGAGTGCTGGGACTAAAGGCGTGCGCCACCACGCCTGGCTCTAAAGCAGTTTTTTGCTCCTTCCCTTTTAGTCCCCTTCACTGCCAAGACCCACTCAATAGATTCTGTCTCTCTTGACTGACAGGCCTTTCTCCTCTCATTTCGTATAAGAACCCATCAGTTCTTATAATCATTTCCCCAGATCTGCCCTAGCTATAATCTTGTCTCCAGGCCTCTCCCTACTTTGATACATTCAGCACACAGCTTTAGGAATCATCTCAAAAAAAAAAAAATCACTGCTTTAATTACTTAATTACCACCACTGGGGGGTGGGGGAACCAACTAAGCAGCTGTGCGTGGCACATGCCTATAATCCCAGCACTTGGGAGGTAGAGGCAGGCAGAGCTCTGAGTTCAAGGCCAGCTGGGGCTACAGGAGACCCTGTTTCAAAAAGACCCCCCCCAAAAAAAACCCCAAAACAAAAAACTAAGCAATGTGTCATCTACCAAATTCAAATCCCACATTCTAGAACACAGTGAGAGGGAAGGGGAAAACACACAAACATTGACTAACATCTATGAAGGTTCCAGGTTCTCAACAGACATCACTTCACTTAAGCCTGCCCCCCATCTTGGAATGGTAGGTAGTATTATCCCCAATTTAGAGCCAGGAAATTGAGAGATTGGCAATTTGTCTAAGATTACCTGACAGGTATCTACCCAGTCAAGCTAGGCAGTGTTAGGTGTTGTACTGCAAATTGTATGCTTCACCCTCTAAGCAACAGTTTCCTGAATGTGAGACCATCATCCCACTCAAGGTGATATGTGGAAGTATCCAGCCAGAGCTGCATACGGCTGCCAACTTTGCACCCTGCACTACCACTGAGCTGCATCCCAGCCCTTTGTATCATCTCTCTATCCTATTTGAGTTTCTTTATAGAACTTGCCAGTGCTTGAAATTCGTTTATACATTTGTTTATGTGGTTTTGTTGTTGTTATTATTTTTGAGACAAAGCTTACAGAGTTGCCCAGATTCACCTCAAACTCCCAATCACCCTCAAGCACAAGGATTGCATGTGCGGGCCACCATGGCTGGCTGCCTAAGTGCTTTATTGCCTGCCTTTCCTGACTTCTCTATTTACTAGAATGTTCTCTATAGAAGGTAGGTACTGTGTCTTCCCTTTATATTACCTTTCCTTAATAGATAAATGCTTAATAAATATTTGTTACAGTATTAAATTAAGAGCTCAACTTATAGAATAACTTTATGCCTTCTGTGAATTAAAAAAAATCAATATAAATGAACTCAAATTACCAAAACTGAAGAAGTTTCATTATAAGTAGGAAGTTTTTTCCCCTTCAGTTCTTAAGGTCTTATAACAATACCATGACATAGATACAGCATGGGTGTGGGTGATTAGGGCTCAGATGTTCAATGACTTACCCAAGTTAGTGCATGGAGAAGCCAGAACCTGAGCTCAGGTTTACCTGATTCCGAGCTCATTTTCTTTATCATTAAACTATAATAATTTTCCCAAATAACTTGGGTGGATGTTCTAGTTAGCTTTTCTTATTTTTTTTAAACTTAAAAAAATGTTTATTATTATTTTATGTGTATGCGTGTATTGCCCGCAGGTAGGTAAGTGCACCCATGTCATGCAATGCTTGTGGAGGACAGAAGAGACTGTCGGATACGCTGAAACTGGAGTTACGGACAGTTGTTAGCTGCCATGTGGGTGTTGGGATTCGAATCCGGGTCTTCTGCAAGAACAACCAGTGTTCTTAATCGCTGAGCCAACTCTCCCACCCTTAGTTAGCTTTTCTATTGCTGTGACAAAACATTGACCAATACCAACTTGAGGAGGAAAGGGTTTATTTGGCTTACAACTCCTAGGTCACAGTTCATCACTGAGCAAGCCCAAGGTAGGAACTCAAAGAAGGAACCTGGAGGCAGGAGCTGAAGCACAGACAATGGAGGAATGCTGCTTATTATCTTGAGCCCCTGGTCCATGTTCAATCTGCTTTCTTATACAATACAGGACAATTTGCCCAGGGTGGCACCACCCACAGTGGGCTGGGCCCTCCCACATCCCTCAACAATCAAGAAGATGCCTCACAGACATGGCCATAGGCCAATCCAATGGATGCAATTTCCTAATTGAGGCTCCCTCAACAGAAGTGTGTCAAGTTGATAACTAAAGGTATCCAGTACAGTATATATAAGTAGTCAAATCCAAGATAATTTCATTTTTTGCTTTTTGGTGCAGGAGATTGAATTTGGACTCTCACATATGCCAAGCACAATGCTCTTCTACTAAGCTATACCTTCAGCCAAGACATTTTGCATTTATTATTTATTAATTTAAAAATTCTAAATATTTTATTTATTATTTTTATGTGTATGCGTGTATTGCCTGCATGTAGGTAAGTGCACCCGCGTCGTGCAATGCCTGCAGAGGACAGAAGAGACTGTCGGATCCCTTGGAACTGGAGTTACGGACAGTTGTTAGCTGCCATGTGGATGCTGGGATTTGAACCTGGGTCTTCTGCAAGAACAATCAGTGTTCTTAACCGCTGTGCTATCTCTCCAGGCCCCTACTTATTTTTAAAAAACATTTTAAGAAAAGGTCTCATGTACTCATCATGTAGCTGAGGATGACTCTGATCTTTCTGATCTTCCGGCCTTCACATTCAGAGTGCTGGGATTACGGGGGTACACCACCATATCTAGTTTTTTAAAATTTATCTTTTTTATTTAATAACCACATGACTAGAAGCATTTCATTACAGCTTTAATGTTAACATATTCAGTAACAATTTTCAGAGCAAGGATACAGCTCTTTCAAAAGTGGCTATAAATTTTTAGGTACACAGTTGAGTTAATACAGTTATACAATACTGAACACAGTATAAACACCAGGAAAGGTGCTGGCACCAGCAGTATTTTTTTTTTAACTCTTAACTTTTTTTGAGACAGGGTCTCACTGTAGCCCCAGCTGGCCTGGAACCCACTATTTAGGTCAGATTGGCCTTGAACTCAGAGATCCGTCTGCCTCTCTCTCCCAAGTTCCGGGATTGAAGGCCTGTGCCACCATGCCCAGCTAATTTTTAACTTTTTATATGTGTGTATGCATATCTATATGTATTGCATGGGTACAAGGGTGTACGTGTGGAGGTCAGAGGTCAACCTCAGGTACCAATTCTTAGGTGCCTTCCACCTTTCACTTTAGGCAGATTCTTTCTTTGACCTGGAACTTTGCTGCACAGGCCAGGCTAGCTGCTCCACAGACTTCCAGGGACTTGTCTTCACCATCCGTTTTGCTTTAATTGGGAGTATAGGTGAAAACCTGCCCCACCCCTCAACGGTTTTTTACATGGGTTCTGGGGATCTGAATCAGGTCCTCATGTTATGAGCAAGTGCTTTACCAACCAAACCATCTCCCCGGCTCAACACCAGACCCAGTTTTATGTCATGCTGGGGACTGAGCCCAGGGCTTCAAGCATGCTAGGCAAATTACCAGTTGAACTGTATTCCAGCCCCCAGTTTTCCTTTGAGTAAAGCATTTGGTGATGTCCTTAGATCAGTGATCTTTTCTTCAAAGAACTACCCCAGAAAGGCTGGTATTACTTATAGCAAATGACTGAGAGCCCTGTGAGGAGGGAAAGTCATTGACTGTATTTGCTCATCGTTGGCTCTGGAGCTTCAAAGTTCCTACCTGAGCAGCCTCATAGGTAATGGTCTTGGTCTCAGTGTGGACGATAGGGACATCTTTGGTTGGGATTTCACTTTTCACAGCATTGGCAGTATCTGCGATGGTGACAGTCTGAGTCTTTACCAGGGGAGGCTGTGGGACAGTAAAGAATCAGTTAGAGGAGTCCTTCTGCAAGCTGTAGGAAACAGAACCTTCTGACACTGATCTGATCAAAGTGTTTAAATCAGAAAAGGCTGAGCTCAATCTCCACAGGTTCACCTGCCCAAGACTTGGACACTATTCTTGGGAGGTGTCACATCATGAGGGATATTAAAAAGCAGCATTACTATAATCATTTTCATAAGCTTAACAGAAAATTATAACACTAGACAGTTTATGACCAGTGATATAAAACACTTCCAACTGACCTTCAGAATTTGAATATAAAAGTAATTGCCAAATAAGAATCACTTTCATTTGTCCTTGTGACTATACATTACAATTAAGAAAATCAGCCACATTTCCTCCACTAAGTACAAACAGTACGTGAAACAGCAGAGGAACCAGAATGCATTACCATGGAATTCATTAACTTTGTTCAAATCAATGTCAGACATTCACTTTGGATTTACTGAGAAGAAATAGTATTTGGAAAACCAGAAAGAGAAAAAAAAGATCAATTCTCCCACCACCTGGTGATTAATCTCAGGGGTTCCAGAAGAATGCACATTAGTGGAGTGTGAAAGGCTCATTTAAATGCTCACCTTCCCCAAGACTAGAAATCACCCTTGAAACTACCATTTGATTGTGATAAGGTTAAGGGGCCATCCACTTTAGTACAGGAAGTTAGTGCCTATGATCACAGGAGATCCTGTGAGGGGGTCAGTGGGAGTGGTGGGCTGAACAGTATGACGCAGTACACAAATCATTATTTGGAGCCTGAATTTTGAATTAAAAATCAAATGTTAGGAGTCCTGAAAAATTTTTGAGCGTGGTCTCCGAACCCTAAAGGTTCCTCAACCACAGGAGTCTATAATTCATCTCTTCCCATAGCTCATTCTTGAGCAAGGAAAAGATGAACATGTTTACACCAGCTTAGCTGGAGTTTACTCCCAAGAGTTTTGTTAAGCCATCAGAGGAGAAAACATTCTGGTCATGAATGAATTTCTTTATGGCATCAAAAGCTTTACTTTTACTCCATGAGTTTAAAAAAAGCAGAATGGCCACAACCCTTACCACCACCACCACCACCACCTCCTCCAGAGAACAGATTCTGGCCCTCTCCCAAAGAGAGTCATTAGACCTGCATCATCAAATCAGTTACTACCTGGAAACTTCGAATGAGGGTGGGGAACTGGTTACCCACACCAGAGTCAAGAAAAGATCCATTTTGGGTTTCAAGTGTCCCTCCTGGAGCAACATGTTCTTCACTACCGTCTGCCTTTTTTTCAGCAAGTTGCAGCTGACAGGAAGCTGGAGTTACTGAGAAATTTAAGGTACTGGCCTGTTCCTTCATTCCTACACATTCCCCACTTGGGCCTCTCGGCATCTCATTAACATCAAGATAGCCAGCTGCCCCCTGCTCCTTCTCTTCTGTCTCCTTGCAGTTTATGGAGAGGGAGCCACAGCCAAAGCTCTGTAGTGACTCCGACGATGGGGTGGTCATCAGGCTCTGACTAGGAACTACTGACTGCTTGGGGCCCTCCCATTCAGAGGCAGGGTGGGTGGACGGCCCTTTTGTCCCGACAGCTACCTCCTCTGCACGAATGCCATTTACATTCTACAAATGAATGAACACATACAAAGGCAAGATGATTAGGAATGAGTGGGAGAAATCAGAGTGAAACTGAGTATCAACAATGGTTGTTAAGAAGACTCACCTCAAACATATCAATGCTATTAGAAACCAAAGATCTTAGCTCCAAAGGCAGTCAAACGCACTAGTTTTCGCTACATATATCAGGGGCCTAAGCAATTTCTACTTTATTTGGTCCAATTTCTAGACCACTGTTACTGTAAGAACAACTTTAATGTACCTCACCGTGTTCTGAACTTCATATTTCTATAGTCTTTGAGGTATAACATACGCTTTTTATACATAAAGGAGCTACTATGTCATTCCTATATATCCAGTTAATTATTATGCAAAAGACAATATAACTTATGAGCTAATCAAGACATGTTCTTGATGGGCCTGACGGGGTTGCGAATAATATTTCACATCTCCAATCCTTATATGTTATCATACTGGCTCCTAAGGGGAAGCTACAATTTAGACTTTGAAGCAGAGTCTTGGTTAACCTAGAACTCACTAAGTAGCCTTGTGCTGATCCTCCTTCCAAGTGCTGGAATTACAAGTATGTACCACTATGCCTGGCAAGAGCCAATTGTATGCCAATCTGTGGAAATAGCTAACAGTCTGTCATCAAGAAGTTATTTGTTAATCAAACACTGGTTAGGCCAACACCTCTTTTGCTATGCATGGAGGTGGTAGGGAAGCATCTTGGGTTCTTTCCTTTTAACCATGTGGGTCCTGGGGTTTAAACTTAGGTCACAGGCTTGGCAGCAAGCATCTTTACTTGTTGAGCCATCTCCAGGCACCTTTTGGCCCAAAGTTAGTTATCTATTGTTGAGACAATTTTAAAATTAAACAGACTGATTTTTCCCCTAAAGCATATATAGAAGAGAGCAAAAGTTAAAGCTGTAGCCAGAGTAATTTCAACTCAATAATATGTCTAAGTTATCATAATATGTACCTAATATGTTTAAGTTATCATAAATAAAAGGAAAAATGGCAGCAGTTGGTTTGGTTAGCCATGTGTAGCTCTCACATGTTGGTGCCATTGTCTAGATCTCATGAGCACATAGACAACTGTTTCCTGGACACCCCCACCCAGTTACGTAGTCCTCAAATTAAACTCACTTCTGTTGCTTCCTGGGCCTCTCACTCCTCATTTCCTCCATGGTTTCCACATCAGCAAATGGTTATACTATCTATCCAGTGTGCCATGACAGAATCCTGAGTCTCATCTTTAGTGCCTTCTTCACACCTATTCAAACCCTCAGCAAGCCATTAAAAAGTGTTTTTTAAAAAAATTTATTTATAGTGTGTGTATACACATGTGTGGACATGCACCTGCCACAACACACATGTGGCAGTCAGAGGACAAATTGCAAGAGGCAATTCTCTCTTTTCACTGTATGGGTCCCAGGGATTGACCTCAGGTGGTCAGGCTTGGCAGCAAGCTCCTTTAACTGCTGAACAGCTCACCAGCCCAAGCCATTTGTATTCTCTAACTCCTCCTGTCTGCTTGTCTCTGTGTCCACATTTACTAGCTTTACTCATGCTTATACTGTCTCACACAGACTATTAATTACTGAAGCCCTCATTTTTCCCTTTACTTTGATCTCATTTCAAGTCTTCTTTCAACTATCTTCTACTCTGCTGCTAAAGTATTTATTTCTCATATTAAATGTTGAAAATTCAATTTTTCAGTTTACAACCCTTCAATGGCTCTGCATTGCTAAAGACCAACAGAGAGAAAATACTTCAGAAATCTGGCCCCCATCTCTCTCTCCAGCTTCAGCATTAATTCAAAACCATCTGAAGCATCTAGAACAGAGGATGCTTTCTTTCACCCCCGTGCTTTTATAATACTGTTCTGACAGCAAGTCCATGTTAAGTTCATGTGTCAGTTCTGGAAGATTCCCCCTAGCTGCCTATCAGGCCTTTTTTTTGTCTTCATCATACCTGCTTTTCTTTTCTGTGCTGGGGATGGAACATGGAGCTCTGCACATGCTAGGCCAGTGTTCTGCACTGTCACAGCCCCAGTCCTCAGACCCTTTCATTACTGGCATATCAACTGTTCTTTCTGCTAGACTCTGAGTACACTGCGGAATAAGGATTTCCTTATTCTTACTAGGTCTTACTTAGCTTCATATCTTTCTTTGTGTTGTTTGAGGAATGTAATAGGTGTTGAGTAAGAATTTCTGAAGGAGTATTAAGTAAATCCAGATGGGAAGATTTCTGCTTTGTCTTGTGCTATTTAATAACTCAAAATACAGATGGAGGACCACTTGAGGAGAGGGAGAGCAGCAGAAGGGACAAGGAAGGATGACGGGAGAAAGGACAGGGGAGGGCGACAGGAGGGTGACAGGAGACGGGACAGGGAACAGGAGAAGGGACAGGGAGGGTGACAAGGGGAAATATGAGCAAAGGACAATGACCAATATTTATGAAAATGTCATAAAGAGACTCTACCTCAGGAGGCAGAGGCAGGCAGATCTCTGTGAGATCGAGGCTAGTCTGGTCTAGTTTCAAGCCAGTTGGGGCTACAGTGAGTTAGCCACCATCTTGGTGGTGGGAATCGAACCCTGGTTCTCAGGAAGAGCAGCCAGTGCTCTTAACCACTGAGCCATCTCTTCAGCCCCAAAATATAAATTTTTTTTTTGTTGAGTGAGACTACAAGGTCTCACTCTGTAGCCCAGGCTAGTCTTGAACTTGAGGTGATCTTGCTTCAGACTCCCAAAGGCTGGGATTACAGGCATGAATAAAACAGTTGGCTTCCACTTAATTCTCTGTATGTGTATGCATATGTGGAGGGGATAGAGTCAACTGCAGGTGTCATTTGTCAGGAGCTATCCACCTTGTTTTTTGAGACAAGAGTCTCTCACTGGTCTGGAGCTTGATAATTAGGCTAGGCTGACTGGTCAGTGAGCCCCAGGGATCCTCCTTGTCTCCAGCTCCCCAGAAACTCATACCACCATGTTCAGCAGTTTTACTTGGTTTCTGGGGCTTGAACTCAAGTCTTCATGTTTGTACAGCAAGCACGTTGCTGACTAAGCTATCTTCACAGTACCTTATTTGATTACAGTCTCCTTTTGAGGAAGTCATTACCCTTATTTTACAGATGGAGAAATGGAGCTCTTAAGCCAGTTAGAGCTAGGGTTTAGACGCAGGTCTACTTCTGGTTCTAAAGCTACTCTTCCTCCCGGGGTACTGGCAGTCATTTCAAGCAGGACCAATGCATATGTCCAATTATGCTCTAAAGAACAATTATCAAATCAGAGTCTAGTTTTGAGAAATACAATGATTGTCCAAAAAAGTCTTAAGAGGAATTTATTCTTAGTGGAGGACATTATATTTTTAAACCTGAGAAGGTTGAAAGGCCAGAAGACAAGATTCTGGTCTAGAGATATAGTCTCATGATGAGAGATACCCAGAATTTGGGATCTAATATCAGTGAAGGATTTTATCTGACAGTGTTGTTGCCTTTGGCTATGACCATCAGCCAGAGCCACTATATTACATAAGACTGCACAACTACATAAAACCAAATTAGCCTGAGAACTTTTGCCAGGAATATGATTTGACATATGACTATGTCTGAACCATTCATAGTCACAAAGGCAAAATTGAGACTTAATGTGACTCTGAGGTATTAGTCTAGATGTTGCTTATCTGCATTGTTGAGAGACTTATAGGATGAAACAGGCTACAATAACAGATCAGCTGCCTGTACAAGGTACTATTGTAATATCCAGCTGGTTTCAAGAATATGAAAAGAATGCCAGGAGTGGTGGCACACGCTTTTAATCCCAGCACTCGGGAGGCAGAGGCAGGCAGATCTCTGTGAGTTCGAGGCCATCCTGGTCTACATAGTGAGTTTCACACTAGCCAGAGCTACACAGGGAGACCTGATCTAAAAAAAAAGTAATAATAAATAAATAATAAAAATAAAATGAATATGAAGACTATCAGGCAAATATTTAGTTGAATAGGAACATCACTTGAAAGTTCTCACTCTGATTTATTTTTTTAAACATTTTTAAAAATTTATTTATTTTTATGTGTGAGTGTATTGCCTGCATGTATATAAGTGCACCCATGTTGTGGCATTCCCATGGAGGACAGAAGAGGGTGTTGGAGACTCTGGAACTGGAGTTATGGATGGTTGTTAGTCACTGTGTGGCTGCTGGAATTCAAACCAGGATCTTCTGCAATAATAGTGGTCTTAACTGCTAAGCCATCTCTCCAGCCCCTCAATCTGACTTAACGATAGTTCCTAAGGTAGAAGTAGGAGAATCAGGAGTTCAAGGCCATTCTTGGTTATATATTGAGTTTGAGGTCCTGGGATACATGAGACACTATCTTGAAAAAAGTCCATAGCACCTGCTAAGTATGAGAATTCAATATAGTCTGTGTTTTGTGGAAGAAAACAAGGGAGTTCTCTTTCTAAAGGCTTTCTCTTGGAAACTATTTCTTTTATGAGATTATGTCTCAGAATCTTCAAATCCTGTAAGTTATAAATCACTACTTTTTTGGCTTTTATGTCCCAGGTAGCACTGAGAGCCCAATATAGGTGTTTTACAGGTATTTGCGGCCACTCATTAAATCTAATCCAGTTTTTTTCCTTTTCAGGTTTTTTTTTTTTTTTTTTTTTTTTTTTTTTTTTTTTTTTTTTTTTTTTTTTTTTTTTTTTTTAAACTTTTTTCTCTCGTGTTTTTT